TTCTGTAGGTATCATTTTCTTCCTCGGTGAAATGAGTATGTTAGACAGCACTTGGCTGCCTAAATTCTAGGACAGGCCCCGCAAAACCAAAACCCCGCACGTCCGTCAGTCAGACAGAGGTTTGCCTCCTATGGGGCTTCAGTCCCCTGCCGTGCTAATGGCAGTGTCCTACTCAACACACTCCGGGGGCTCCCCATCACCTCCAGGATCAACCCCTCAGGAGCTGGCCCCTCCTCTCTTTCCTGCCCACCTCCATGCACTCTGCTCCAGCCTGAGGCTCCCCCATCTTCCCCAAGCCTCTTAATTGTCCTGCTTTCTGTCTGGGGGTGAGCTCCTTATTAAAAGCCTTTCTTTGCATCCTGAGCAGACCCTCAATAAAGGTTTATTGACTGATTCACTGATTTATATCACACTACAGCAGAAACAGGGCAGCCAGATGGTGCCAAAGTGCACAGAGCGCTGGGCCTGAAGTCAGAATGACCTGCCTCATTTACTGTGTGTGTGACCCTGGGCAAGTCACTTCACCCTGTTTGCCTCAGTTTCCTCATCTGTAAGATGAGCTGGAGAAGGAAATGGCGAACCATTCAGTATCTCTGCCAGGAAAACCCCAAAGGGAGTCACGACGAGTCAGACACGACTGAACCTGAACTGAAGGGTGGAAGAGCAAGCTTGGGGTCCTCTGGTTTCCGGCAACTTTCCATTACACACTATTCACAAACCTGGAAGTGATCGGCTGAAAGCTGAAAGGGATGGTATACAGCACGTCATCCAATCTTTCACTTCCCAGAGCTGACGGCACTTGGCCAAGGCCCAGCAGCTCCTTCCCATTCCAGCTCTGCTCCCATGTCCAGGTCACCTCCATCCTCCGGCCTTCAGAGTGATGGGATCAGGGAGGATGCTGTCCGAGGCCCCTCCCAGCTCTCCATCTAGGACCATCACGGCTACCATGACTACTCCGTTTCACAGCTAAGGAGATGGAGGCTCCGAGAGACCAGATGACCTGTCCTCGCTCACCTGGCTACCCTGGGCTTGAGGCACGACTTAGACTCGGACGGCGGGCCTAGGGCTCCATCCATCCCACGCTGCACTTCATCTTCATTTTCAAAGGAAGACGGCAGAATGGGGGATTTTGCCTGTTCTTCCATTTTCACTTCTCTGAGGTTGAGAAGGAAGAGCTTCTGACTCAGGGGACGGGGTGCAGGAAGAGGGAGAGAGAAAAGGGGTCTTGGCTCTTCTAACCCAACTCCCTGAACTTTTCCAGCTGCCTTCTCAGGTTAGACGAGCCCCCATCGGTGGCGTCCTCTGACTGGTGAGTTCCTCCCTTTGAGGAAGGACCCATGCCAGCCACGCTGCTTCTTTCTATCTGGGCGCAGCACTCGACTCTCCAGCCTGTTCCAACTTGCCTGCCTCAGCCTCTCGGCCTTATTTACCGGCTGACTTTTGTGCCCTGCTGTGGGTGCAGTGGCCGCAGCAGGTCCAGATGCGGCTATCATCATAGTGCCTTCCTCCTCCCTCGGGGCTGTCTTCCCTCAGTAAGCCCCTCAAGGGCTGCCATTTTCCCTTTGCTTGTTGACTGACTGGCCCAAGTTCCACACAGTGTCTGAAGGACTGACTACTTTAATTTTTATCTAAGGAAGCCCCGTTGATAATGGAAGAAGTCGGGCAGAGGGGCCCCTAACAACATCTTGTGGGCTAAGCACGGCACGAGGTTGGCTGGTCCTCGTGGGGCAGGCCCCAGCAGATGCACTGCTGCAGTCACCTTCGGGCCAGTCTCTCACCACTCCAATTCATCCACCAGAACCTCGTCTGCCCCTAACTCACAAGCCTCCAGGGGCTCCCTCTAAAATCCAGGAGCAAATAGAAGCCCTGTGATTCCATGGCCTGGACACCTCCTACCTTTCCATCGTACTTCGCCACACACACTCCATCTACCAACTCTTGCCTCTTCAACGGCTGGTTCCCATGCCTGGAATGCTCTTACTCCTCAGCTAAGAGGCAGAAAGCCTCTGCCGGTTCCCCACAGCTAGTGCCGTCCCTCTGAGATGTACACTGTCTCTACCTTGTTTACACACAGCTCTTACATGTTGTCTCCTCACTGGACTGTGAGCTCCCTAAAGGCAGTGACTGTCTCTGACTTTCCTTCTATCACCAACACTCAGTACAGGGTCTGAGACATAATAAACACCTGACTGGCTGACGGAAATGGGGATCCTATCTCCTCTCCCACAGGGTTAGCAGATGGACCAAACAAAATGGTGCACATCTGTCAGTCAGCCAACGTTTCTGAAGCAGCTGCTGTGCCAGGCACTGGGCTAAGCACTAGGGACACAACAAAAGGAACAAAAAGTCGCTGCTCCCAAGGAGCTCACAGTCTACTGGGGGAGACAACATGCAAACATCTGTGTACAAACAAGCTGCAGACAGGATAAATTAGGAGTGATCTCAGAGGGAGGGTTCTGGAAAGAATGTTTTTGGTTTTTGGTTTTGGTCCGGATCTCGGACTTCATCGGGGTGTGGGAATGTCCATGTACCAATCTCTCCCAATGCAGATCAGGAGAGAAGACCTGGGGTCCTGAGAAGTGGGCTAGGGGGCCCCCAAGCTACTCCTTATGTGTCCATCTGAGGCAGAACCTGAAGCCAGACCTTCCTGACTGTAAAGCTTGCTCCCCTCCCAACACCCCATGCTTCCTCTATCATCGATGTGGGATACAGTCAGACATTCAACTGAAAGGAACCCTAATGATCAACTGAGCCAAACAGACCACCTTTCCCCAGATGAAGACGACCGTTACTGGGACAATCTCCACATCTGGACCAGCCAGGGTCACGAGAATGAGGAAGGCCCTGGCAGAGGAGCGCTGTTCTGAGCTGGAAGGAAGAAGAGACTCGCCCCTGAATTTCCCTCTCACCCCGAAAGGTCCCACACCCTCAACTTCTGCATCAGTCAAGTGGGTGCTCATCCCCCACGGGGTCCCACCACAGATAGCAGGGGTCCCTTCCATTCCTGACACCCCCACTTGGAGGCTCAGAGAGTCATAATCCTGTAAGCTGGAAAGCGGCTTCACAAGTCGCCCCGGCCAACCCCCAGCCCATCCCCAAACCACGCAGACCGACCTCTTCCCCTCTCACCAGAACCCGAGCCCCGCCCTGGCATCCTGGGCATCTACCTCCTCCCCAGACTGAGATTTTTGTCTTCCCCCAGAAGAATGTAAGCTCTCTGAAGGCAGAGGCTGTCTGGCTTGCTTGTATTTGCATGCACAGTGCCTGGCACATGTATGAGCTTAATAAATGCTTTTTCTTCCACCCATTTGTACAGGTGAGGACACTTGGAGGGGGAGAGAGAAGGTCATACAAGTATTCACAGAAAGACAGAGCTACCACTCCAAGAAAAAAAATAGGGCGGAACAGCATCGCCATCTATTGGGTTTTTGTGGTATTGCTTCTGAAGATTTAAAAGTCAGAAATTACTGAGTTTTTATGACCACAGACATACTGTGGTATCAGCCTTGGACACTGCCCCGTGGTATCTGTCCTGCCAACCTGCTGAAGGCCACCAGCTCCCCTCTGTTGACAAAGCCACTGTGGTGATCCCATTTAAATGACGTCTGGTCCCTCCCCACTAGAGGACCCGTTTCCTCCCCTTCAGAGGACTCCCGTTTCCTCCCCAATAGAGGAGCCCCATTTCCTTCCCTTCAGAGGACTCCTATTTCCTCCCTGTCAGAGGACCCCCACTTCCTCCCCACTAGAGGACCCCCATTTCCTCCCCATTAAAGAAGCCCCATTTTCTTCTCACTAGAGGACCCCTGTTTCCTTCCCTTCAGAGAACTATTTCCTCCCCACTGGAGGAGCCCCATTTCCTTCCCTTCAGAGGACTCCTATTTCCTCCCTGTCAGAGGACCCCCATTTCCTCCCCATTAGAGAAGCACCATTTTCTTCTCACTAGAGGACCCCCATTTCCTTCCCTTCAGAGGACTCCTATTTCCTCCCTGTCAGAGGACCCCCATTTCCTCCCCATTAGAGAAGCACCATTTTCTTCTCACTAGAGGACCCCTATTTCCTTCCCTTCAGAGAACTATTTCCTCCCCAATAGAGGAGACCCATTTCCTTCCCTTCAGAGGACTCCTATTTCCTCCCTGTCAGAGGACCCCCATTTCCTCCCCACTAGAGGACCCCCATTTCCTCCCCATTAGAGGAGCCCCATTTTCTTCTCACTAGAGGACCCCCATTTCCTTCCCTTCAAAGGACTCCTATTTCCTCCCTGTCAGAGGACCCCCATTTCCTCCCCACTGGAGGACTCCTATTTCCTTCCCTTCAGAGGACCCCCATTTCCTCCCCATCAGAAGACCCCCAG